GTGGCTCCCACACTCCCTGTGTTTACACAGCAGGTAAACTAGAGCAAGGATATCTGCCAAAAGACCATTTCTAAAAATCATCTTACTGACCCCTTATTATCTGCCGCCTCTCATAATAGTTCTTTATGTAAATGAGCCCATCAATGATAAGAATCGTACTAGTTGGGCTTTGTTTTCATTTTACACATGAGATTTGTGGCATTAGATAGGCTAGATAACATGAGAAATACTGCGGCTCATCTCAAGAATCAGGCCGTGCTGAGTGGCAATGTCTGGTTTTAGCTTAGCCATGGCCCATTTGTGAGATGCAGGATACCTGGCCCGCTGGGTCACTGCACCCTTTTGCTTGCCATGTTACTGCACCTCTCTGTCTGTCACCTTCCTTTGCTCCGTTCTCATTTACTTGAGGGCTGGAAGCACTGTGCTTCAATTGTCGCCTGCTGCTTTTGTGGCCCACACCCGGGCTGTGGATGCTCAGGACAGGGTGCCAAGTAAAGAGATTCTTGCACTTCCAAGTGCGCGATCACCAAGCACACTGCATCTGTCCCCAGTGCTGCCACAGAGCCTGGCCTGACGTGCAGCGTCAGTGCTGACAGTGCCCTGGCTCCCACTGTCTTGGCGTGGGTGACTCTCCAGATGAACAGTGGCTTTTAGGTTGCTGTCTCGGTTACCTGAGGCCCATTTGCCTTGGGATTTAGGTTTCAGATCATGGATCCTTGCCAGAAGACAAGTGCCTCATCCCAGACATCAGGGACACTGGCCCTATGTGAGCCAAAATGTGCTCCGTGGTTTCCTCTAAGCTTCGGACATTTCCTTTCCCTGAAGTTCTTTGTCCTGATGTGAAACACTCGAGCTACTGCTCTAGAAGCAGGAGCATAAACACTTGAGCCCAAAAAAGACTGTAACTAGCCTCATTGGAGAGTCCAAGCTTCATTTAATATTTAGTCTGAAAAAAGTAATAATAAACACTCACATTTTATAATCACAAATAGATACAAATTTATGAATATCTGCAGGAATCAAATCATAATCTAAATCATAAACTAAGGAGTCAAAATACACAGTTTGGCCTCAGGGAAGGCTGGCTTCGGTGTGGTTTTGTAAAACATAAATAAATAAATAAACAAATACATAAATAAATCACTAGAGTGCAAAAAGCCAAATCTTTCCTTGAAGCCCCATCAATCATTCATGATCTTCTTTCCAAATGGCTTCAAGAGCCTGGGTGATCTTGTTGGTTAGGGTGGTTTCATATTTTTCTCCCAGCCCTCAATCACTTGAAAGGCTACTTTTTGGCACCGGGAAGTGAGGAGCAGCAGGATTACCTGGGAATCTCTACATATTAAAGACTAAGGAGTTTTTAACTGAAAGTGAAAGCATGTTTGAGTCTTAACTGAGAAAACATGGGGGAAGAAAACTTCTAAGTTTCTAGAGCCTTTTCTCTCCCATTTTCTATTTGTAAAATTACATCCCTTTAATCTTTTAAGAAAAGAGGATGGGATTGAGACCCTGGCAGATGTCTTCTGCATGGAAGGCTGATTTTTTTTTAAGTTAATATAATTAATTTTCTGATTTTTGTTACAATGAAAAGCTGTTTCCTCCCTGTGAGAACAATGATAGTTGTGTTTTTTTATTTAATTTTTAAATGAACAATATGGGATTTGTAAGTAATGTGTAGACACATGTATTTTTTAAAGAGGATGACGTTCCTGATTTATCAAATGTGTGGGTTTTTAGAGTACATTTGCACCCAGAACTTTGAAATAAAAATTCATAAATATGAGTTGTGACTTTTGTTAAGTATTTGCATAAAGTTATCCTAACATTTAGAAGATGTGCATGTGTACCTATGTGTGAATGTGTATCTAATATGCACATTTATTTTTTATTTTCATTTGTTCTTATTTCTCAAATGCTTTTTATTTTAAAGCAAAGAAAGATGTAACATATGTAATCTATGTAGTCATCTTACAGTTTTGATCTGCCTTGCTTTGAGTTCTCAGTGGGAACCCCTGTCTCCTGTCATTGCTAGATGCAAATGTTCTCTATGCAGTCAAACTGCAGCATAAGAGCTTTTAAATTTTTATGCTGGCAAATGGCATGTGGGAGCCAGCATGTTTAGGAGTACTTACTCATCAGTCATTCTCATGCAGTGTTTTCATTCATTGCATGAGGGCAGGAAGTGTTTGTGCTCAGCATTTCTTTCTCACATAGGTGGTTCTTTTATAGTACAAACATTTCAGGAAAATGAATTTGAAAGTAGTTGAACTGGAGATTAAATTGCTATTTTAACAGAAAATCTGCTTCATTGTGTAGATTAAGAAAATCAATTTTATCTTTATTATACACACAATAGGGAACTTTGTTTCATGAGTTGTTGGGAAATTAAAACAAAATACAACAGTAGTTTGTAAAATAATCAAGAAAACCTAAATCCTTTAGAGCATCTTTGGAAATGTAAAGCTCAGGGCTTCCTGGAGTTAAAATCAACTTGCTAATTCTAGAACAAAGCATACCATAGAACAGGAAGCTTTTTTTTTGTTTTGTTTTTATTTTTAATTTGTTTGTTTTTCTGAATTTATTGAACTGTGAAGAAGTACATTTAAATTGAAAACAATGACAGGTCCTTAATGAAGGCGAGTTCACTGAAAGCCTAGACTGTACTGAGAGAAGCCTTCTCGGTCCCCAGAGCTGGGACAGGTGACCAGCCCACCACTTCCTTTCCTAGGAGCTTCCTGTAGGGGATTTTCTAAGGCTAGTTTCTCTACTGTAGTCTCAGTAATCATGGTTAGTTAATATTAAACACTTTTCTCTGTCAAAATTGTGTATCCTGCTCCCTAGAGAGTTTGTTACAGTGACTGTATGTTTATCAGAGCCTTGAGGAACAGACAGAGGTTTAGGGTGAGGTACTGGTAATGAGAACCTATGTTACTCCAGATGCTGATTAGACAAGAAAAATGCAGTCAAAATACATTGTAAAAAATAATTATGTAGCTCAAAAAGTTAACCTTTTCTTTGAATTCATTGTGCTTTGTATGACTTGAGTTGTTTATCTTGTATAATAGGAGTGTGTGGGGTAGTGATATTCTGCCATGAACTGCAGAAGTGTGCCAGGCAACAGGTAGTCAGGGGGCCTATTAATCACCACCTCTGATGGCTGACTGGCTGATTAAGGTTCTTCACACATGGTTCCTTTAGATTACAGGAAGTCCCAATGAAGGGAAACTGAAGGAGCAATAAGAAGTTGTCTTACATTGCAGAAATGGGACTGAAGTGTTACTTACCACAAGCCAACATGGCCCACTGTGAAGAATGTGACCAAAATATGTTCTGGGAAATAATATGCTTAGGATGCAAATGTTGTCATGGTTTTTGTTCTTAACCCAAAAGGCTTCCTATTGTGGGTGTTAGTGTCCTGGAAGAAAGCCCTCTACCCCGGAAGAATACCCAGCACACAGTGCCTTCTCTCTAAAACAACTAAGAACAATAGGAAAGTTTGCAAAGTATGGTGCTCATAATACTATAAAGAATATTTAGTTTTAGATGTTGTTTTATGTGTAATAGAAGTCTATAAAGATTGAGAGCTTCTGATGTCACCTTTTTACTTATGTTCATGGTTTTCCTGAAGAATGATAATGTCACTAGAAAACACTTTGGGGAATTTTTCACACATAAGAAGGCTGGCTTTGCAGCTAATTAGGAAGAAGTACACTGATATCTCTGTAAAAAATGGTGATTTTGAAGGCTCCAACAGAAATATTGATTGTTCCTGTGACACTGACTCATGTGCTCCTCTGAACTGAAGACTCATTAAGGGAAAAGGTCTGCCACAAATAGAAACTGAGGCTGAACTTACGGCTAATATCAGTGCCAACTTATGGCTGATATCAGTGACTTGGCACTTTATGTGGGCAACTTTCCCTTTTAAACAAATTGTTTATTTTTTATTCTTGGCTGTAACATAATTATCTCAAACTGTGATTTGCATCTAATTTAGAAGACCTGTTCTCTCTCTCTCTCTCTTTTTCTCTCTTCTTTCCCCTTCCTTCCTTCCTTCCTTCCTTCCTTCCTTCCTTCCTTCCTTCCTTCCTTCCTTCCTTCCTTTCTTTCCTTCTTTCTTTCTTTCTTTCTTTCTTTCTTTCTTTCTTTCTTTCTTTCTTTCTTTCTTTCTTTCTTTCTTTCTTTCTTTCTTTCTTTCTTTCCTTCTTTCTTTCATTTTTGAAACAGTCTTGGTATGTACCATAGGCTGTCCTAGAACTCTTCTGAAAGCCCGGACTGGTCTCAACTTGGAAACCTCTTACCTCAGCCTCCTTATCCATGCCCAGCACAAAGTTACCAGGTTATGAGAACAAGTATATTAGACATAGGAAACTCAACTGGCATTTAGACTAGGAGTATATAAGAACATACTTCAAAGAGCTTCCAAGCATTTATAGAAGGCTCAATTCACCCCACTAAACATCAGGGAAGTTTTAGGCTGAGAGTCTTGTGGTGGCTTATTGTCTTTGGGCAAGCTAGTGGCTAGGTGATATGAGAGGCATAGGTAGAGTTTGGACCGTCATGCTAAAGGCTAGGGGATTTGCAGTGGGTTCATGGCATAGGTAG